CGACCTAACTACAACGACAATTTGATTATCACTGCAATTTTAATAATAATAATAATAATAATAATAATAGTAATTAATAATAATAGTGATTAATAAGAATAAGAATAACAATAATAATAATAATAAAAATAATAATAATAATAATAATGATAATAATAAGAATAAGAATAATAATAAGAATAATAATAATAACAATTTAAAAAATAATAATCAGAGATGGGCATGCTACTGAAAGACGGCATCTTTGCTATCGCTGACCCGCTGAAAAAAATGTTTGGTCAGCTGAAAAAAAAGAGCTATCGCTATTATAGCCAATACAGTAGTGAAACGCTATCGCTGAATCGCTGGTTAATCAAAATTGGTCCGCTGTTCGCTGTATAGGAAAAACCTCTTATGCCATTAAACATTTCTATGAGTACCAGTCAATAATAAAAACAAACTTCAACAATGAGAAAATAACCAAACGAAGACAACAAAATTCAAAGATTAAAGGCAGTCAACTGGTAATAGCTTACATTACGCTTTCTCATTCCCTTTTGAGAACATCAATATGCTGAGCATTTCGTCTGAAATTCTGGATCGTATCGCCTAGCTCAGTCCCCTTAGGTGGAAATTAGCAATCATCACATCTACACCTAGAAAATATTCTGAAATTAATCCACAAAATTACCAACCCATGAAACTACCGTGAATCCAAACTCTTATCAACTTGCTCAATTTCTGAATTTTAGGAGAAAATAACGACAGAGAAACTGATAAACCATTTTGTAATGAATGAGCTATTTTCCCTTTCCAATGTGCCTTTCTGGATAAGGAATCAATCACTGCGGTTTCACTTTGATCCTAGCAAAATTGGGTCTCATTTAGACAACAGGGACTACACCGACACTACATATTTCGACTTTAAAAAAGCGTTTGATTCGGTATCTGTACATAAATTTACTTAAAGTTACATGCACATGTCTGTCCAATTAAACCTATAACTTTCGACTCCAATCAGTAGATTCGTCAAAGATTCGTTAATGATTCGTTAACGAAGTACATCAGGTTAATGATTCGTTCAGTTCGTCAAAGTACATCAACAGTGGTGTTCCTTAAAGTACCCTTGACTTCCTTATTCTTACTAAGGGTCTTCCAAATTGCGTCTTCACGCTTTTCAACAATTACAAACCATACATAATTTCACAGACCAACAGTCATCCAGCTGGCTTGTACCGCCAGCATCAGAACAAACAAAATTACTTAAAATTTGTAAGAACAATTCTAATAACTCCATCAACACCCAGAACGAAGAATTAGCTCCCGCCTTATTTATCCGATACCAAAGCGTCACAAGCGACCCAAGCTTGCAATGTCATTATCACGTCTCCAATATAGTTAAAAAGCTAACGCCAGAGCATCACACACATTGAGAACGTTCAGCTTAATTACCTTATCCCTACTGAGCAAAGAATGCAACCTACATTCGCCCATCCTAGAATATACCTTTTCGCGTTGGTCTTGCCCTAATTAATACGGTGACAAACGCTACGTTAAAAACGGTGACAGACGCTATGTTAACTGCAGCATCTTCATCTGCAACAGGCGACGTGAGAACTTCAGTAACGTATCAGGCGGTTATCAACATTAGGAACATTAGAACTGCGAACATTTTATATTGGTTTTTGAACAGACTGCGGCATCATTCAACATCTCCCAATGGAAGAATCAACATCTCCCAAGAAGTTGATCTCCCAATGGAAGAATTTTTCGAATTTTCCTCAAGCAATGAAGGAATTCGCCAGAATAATTCCCTTAAACTCGCTGCCTAACGTTGTAAATTAAACACGACAAAACTGTCATTTGCAAACACAATCGTTAGAGCCTAGAATCTACTCTCCCATTATATTGTCTCCTCAGAATTGCTCCAAATATTTAAATGTAGATTCAGACCTATTACGACGAAAGAAATCGGATTCATATCCCTGTTAAAATCTCGTTAACTGTTTGACAACAGGAGGTAGAAAAATGAAAGAAGAAGTTACTTCACTCACCTTCTTTTATCCGTTCCCATCTAGTTGATTCAATAATGTCTATAATTCGATTCTTTCCTCTTCCTTCAACCTCCCTTCCCTCCCAGCAGCAATTCGATCAGTACACTCGTCATATTGTAATCATTTACTTTCCAGATAGTTGCACATATTATTATGCGAACAATGATATCCTTTCCCGGGCAGAACAAAAGTGAAAAAAAGCTTCATTGCATTGCTACCCAATTTATTTGAAGCTAAATAGCTTAATGATCTCAAGCGGAATGCTAATGGTGTACTTACAGCAAACATTTGAGGTATGTTTGAACACTCAACCTCTAACCGTTCGGAAGGATATAAGTGGCAGAAGATAGTGGAACTAGTTCGCTGAAGCACTAACTTTCGCAAAAAAGTAGCTCACGCTACCGCTATTCCGCTGGTGGGGGAATAGCGCATTATTGCCCATCTCTGATAATGATAGTAATAATAATAGTAATGATAATAATAACAATAAAAATAGTGATTATAAAAAATAATAATAATAACATAATAGAATTTTAATAATTTAACATGATTATATTGAATAACAATAATAATTACAATAACGACGATAATGATGAGAATAATGAAACGAACCTCAACGGATGCGTGATCGGTACCTTTCAAAACAATTTCATCCCGAAAATATGCGTTAATTTTAGTGAACATCAACTGCCACTGACCGCAGTCTTTTTCATCCAATGTTGTATTGGACATTTGCGAAGATGGCAATTTGAAAATTCAAACTGTAGAGATTGTAGCGAATAAATGTGTGTTTACAAGAATGAACGAACTAAGCAGACATACACATTGCAAACAACATCAGATTGCATGAATCGAAGCGATACTGTTTATGATAACCAAACTATATTAGCAAATAAAACGAGTCTCTTCGTGACAGCCTGCAAAAAACCTCTTAGTGATTAGAGGAAACTTCACTAGATTTTACCCCAATCAGCAGTTCAGTATTACTCGAAATCGTTACAATGAATCAGTATTCAGTATGGAACAGATGAAATTTTTAATAGTAAAAAGAGAAAAGAAATAGAATGAAAGGAAATATTAGAAACAAGAGTTGAGCCATAAATGATTTTGTTGTTGCCACAATGCTGATCAACTGAAATTGTTCAGAATTTATTCAAGTGAAACTTTAGGCCTATAAATTTAAACTTATCGTTGAATAAATCTAGTTAGCTTTTCATATATTCAATCAGCTACGTACATACATTCACTCCTTCAATATTCTCAAATCTTTCTTGTTATTTACATACCATAGCGTTTCATACAATACCGGTCTAACGATAAAGTGTCGATAACTCTACATTTCGGAACACGTTTCACTCTCAGGTTAGGTCGTGGCCTCAGACCGATACTAAGACGCAAGCTTATCCTTCGCCTTAGCCTCAAACTTGCAATTCAACTTAAGCTCCGGTAACTTCTCCACTCAACAACAACGTTTTCAATATTTTCTACGGCTCTTATCATACCATATCATTGCTACTTAGTTTCGATAAATTCAACAATCATTCAATGTCAAAACAGAAGCAAAGCAAAACTTTCTCCAAGGTCACACAAATCGAATCAACTGTTCTATCAGATACCAATTTTCCGAGGGAAACGTCCAATCGGAATTTATTACTCATCTGAAAAAACATGTTCTTTCTAACAAATCGAATATTTCATAAACATTTCTTTATATTCAAACTATTGATAACATTCAACAAAAAGCTTTCAGAATGAATTATTAGACGTATTACTCAAATAGTTATAAATGAAATACAGTTGTTCATGATATTCTAAATACAACTTCATAGAGCACTCTCCTCATTAACCCATCAACCCACTCCTCCTCGCAATCAACTAATGAATAGATTTGGATACATCAAATTTCATGAATACTTATTATCAACTCAAGTAACCCTCTAAAGAGCACCGTTTCAAACCGTTATGAGAACTATTTAAACATCAATGAATCGCAAGAAAAAACAACAACAATTGAAGAAAAGCGACCAGAAAATCGTTTCTGAATGAATATGAAATATGAACATAACGACCAACATCCATCATCTATCTTCTCCAGGGATAATGAATGAATGAACGAAGACGATCAACAACCCATCAGCAAGCAACGTATTCATCAAAACTACCACTACTAGTACTCATAATAATGATACTCAATAACAAAAATAACAATCTAATAGAACACCAAACATATAAATAACAGCAATAAAACGTCAAACTGAATTTCACTTCAAAATTCTACAGCATTCAAGAGTTAATTGCACATAAATGCTGTTTGAAAGAAAGCTGTAGCTAAACAGATGGAATCAACTGACGGATCATTAAACAGATCAATGAATCAAAAGAGGAATCGATGAGAAATATTTTACGATTTTTAAAAGTAAATTAATTGCGGTCGTGTTCATCGAAAAAAGAAAAACTTTTTCAAGAATATAAAATTTTTCTTTTCATACTCAAAATACGAATAGCGAACAGCAGTAACGGGGGAGGAATAATATACGAGCATATGTACATATGTAAATAAACGATTGCAGCAAACTTTAGACAGAAATAATAATAATAAATAATAATAATAATGGTAAGAATGCAAAATCAGCGAAAACAGTTCAGCGAAAAGAAAGAATTGAAGAGATGATAAATCAGTGAGATGAGCATCAAGGATAAAGGAGATGCTTCTGCTGCCACTTATTACTTGCTGTTTGCTGCCTGCCCACGGTGGCGCTAGATAAAATATATCCCCGGCGAACAATTCAGAATGAACTAGCAACAAAACAACAATAACAACTACACCAACGATTACTGCGCTATTATTATTATTATATTGTCGTTAATAATAATAACATTATTATTACTATTTACTATTATTAGTATTATTACCATATTATTATTACTACTATTATTATTATAATATTATAATAATACTGTTATGATTAATATTATAATTATATTATTACATAAGTATTATTATTATTATTGCTATTGCTATTATTATTATTATTACTATTACTATTATTGTTATGATTACTATTACTAATATTGCTATTATTATTATTATTATTAAAATTATTATTATTATTGAAATTATTATTATTATTATTATTATTGATCTTTATCTTTATCTTATTATTATTATTATTTTTATTGTTACTCAGGCATCGAGTGGTTGTTTTGTCAATCGCTGTGAGCGATCGGCAGAATATTTGTTTTATTAGAGTTATGATTACTTATTGGATTGATATTTGGCTACGATTAATTATGCAAAGTATTCACGTCACTTAATTAATTACTCGGTTGTGTTCGGTTGGCCTGCTTGCCTAGCCAGCGGGGTGGCGTAGACTGAGGCTAAAACAATGTGCACGGAAACGCGAGCATTGTGGCCAACAACGTCACAAACGTTTGATAGCCTGCTTGCCAATCCAGGTAATTATTGATCTATGTAGGTGTTCGTTCCTTGAATGAAAGGATATTCATAATGATGATTTTATGAACGAATATTGGACGTTCACTGCTTTTTTCATCAAGAAATTGTGATATAAAAACATTCTCAAATAATAACAACTCCTATTGCGCATAGTATATCCATATACTGGTTACGTATGTGCATTTTCCAAGTATTTTTTAACGCTTAAACAATTTATCGTGATAAATATGAATTGGGAGTCGGAATAAATAGGCATATACATACCATATTCTACGCAGTAAATAAATAAATAACTTCTTAAGTTATTGTTGCAAACTGGGGGTTAGGTTATCAAAAAGTCTATGAAAGGTGCTATCATCAAACGAATACCATAACAATAACACTAAAAAAGAATTTCTATTCATTTTTACTTATTGAACAACCAAACCAGCAACGTAACATAAGTATAACATCTACGAACACATGAATAAAACAACATTCCAGCACTACCAAAAGTGACATCAGTTTCATCATCGCAAAAAATTTCTTTTTACTGGGCGAAAAGAAAGTATAAGCAAGTAAAATGAGGAAAAATTTGATGATAATGAGGAAAAATAATGAAAGAACGAAAGCGAAAAGAATCGCTCAACACCATAACCGGCATGGTGGTGAGCGATTCGTTCAACATCAAACCCAAATGTTCCGACCTTCCTTCAATTTCTGTTTCGATCAAATGCTAGTGAACAGTTGACAGTTTTGAGTTTTAAAACAGTACATATGTAGTTCTGAATGTAATTCCAACCAAAAAATTAATTAATAAAGTTTACAAAGCTTGAATTTCAATCAAAAAAAGGATTGTATGACTAGGGTTCAAGTGATTAAATCTAGATAAAGCATTGCTTAAATGAATGTGATGATGTTTCATTCAGCAATATGATGAAGTGGTTGTGTGATAAGGATATTATAGTCCTCATCGCAACAAAATATGCATTGCCCAAACGGTGAAGCTGGAATATTCTCAACCTTCTAATGTATTATACATTGATACGTTCTTATCGAAACCAACTTATGCGTATATTTATCTTCAAATGACATCTTACAAATACAGAAATGAGTGGCCCACAGGTTGATTGTTATGGAGAAAATACTTTGGCGATGCAAGTACTTGTAAAGTATAGTGTAATTGTATCACACTGCTGTTCATCACAAGCAGCGAATGAGCTACTTTTGATGAGGATCATCCAACCAACCAACTAACTAACGTTCATTTATTTCTTGCTCTCCTTTTCAACAATAATTGTGATGAATGAAAAGAATCCGATGGTCTAAAAATCCGGCGTAAAAAATTAATTAAATTGTTTTTGCGGGAACTGACGAATGATAATGAAAATTTGGTAGATATTGCATGTACACATGTATGTTTGCGTAACGAAACGACTTTCATTACTTTCTGAATTATTTCACGCCGATTCAATCAGATGCACACAAAATTTGATGTTATTAAAAACCTGGAGTGTGACGGTAATGATAGAGATGACGTAGGTTTGTTCATTTATTCTTTTTTTCATCAATTGTCAATTCCGCTCTGCTTCAAACATCGGATTCAATTAAATGAAACCTATCATGAATTTATTCGGCTAACTGCTTAGGTATCCAGCTACTTAGTCTGAAAGCAAATCTTTAAATAACAGGAACGATAATGGTGATTTCAATACTAATGCTAAAGATGAAAATAATAATAATGACAGTGATTATAATAATGAGAATAGTTCTAGTAACAGTAATAATTGCAATACATACGAATGCATAAACTAGTCAGCATTCATTCTTTTGAAGGTGTGAAAATCGAGAGAAGAATAAATGAACAAAACAATGAAATTCTGATGTTGCGCTAAATGAAAGTATTTTCTGGTTGAACAATAAACAAATGAATGGATGAGTAAACAAATGAAAATTATTGATACTTGGAGGAGGAAGATCCGTTCCAGCTGAACACTACCCATGACTAAACGATCATAATAAGATACAATATTACTTGATATCATAGTCACTTTCGTTTATCATTGTTTTGGTAATGATCCATCATCATCACTATCAAAAATTAGATATACACAGACATGAGTGTAATCTGATGATGGTAACTGATCGGATTTTCGCATTCAACATTTTTCGGTTTTTCGACAATACTCGCATACATATATCTAAGAACTGTCGCCAAATAACTATGCATATAAAATATTCAACGTATCAGCACTGCTAAACCATCGTCTAATTAAGTGACAATTAGCAGATGGCT